CATGTGAAGCTCCTCCTGAATCTCTTTGGGGAAAAGAGACCATAAGCTGCCTTCTCCACTTCGAGAGCCAGACACTATAAATACCAGCGGACAATGACTATTCTTTACAAAGAACCTGGAAGACAGATAAATGAATAAAATTATCAAACAGAATGCGTGAATTAAGGAAAAACAACAATTTTGAAATCTACATAGAGCAGAATTAACACAGTGTTTGTTCCCTTCTATGATTTCCATTTTTTTGCATTTTTATTATGCTCAGGTGTCTCAGAAAATCAAACTGATTTAAATACTAGTGTTACGGCCTTGAGGGCTGGGTTGCAGGTGTTTGGTGTTTGCCTTTGTGCTCCTCCCCTTTGCAGGTGTTGCTGGTCTGCTGATTTGGAGCACAGCGTATTAAAGTCTGGCTGTCTCCACCTTCTGGATCGCCTTTGGCGTCCACTCTGCTGCTTGTGGTGTTTTGTTGCCAGGCCTCAGCTCCCCTCCTTTTGCACATTTGCATTTGTCTGTTTTTGCACTTCAACACTTCTATATGGACTCATACACCACATCTAAGCTGATACTGACATCAACAGTCCATTGTAGTTTTTCTTAATACTCCTTTTAACGCACTTTAACCACTGCATGGCCTCCCATTTTCCTCTGACTTTGAGCCAGTTGTAACAATTAGTAAATGACAACACAAATGTTTAAATTAGCTTTTAAATTAAGATAATCTCAGAAAAAACTCTACCCTGTGTGAAAAATTGATTGCTGCCCCCTCTCCATTAAAACATAACTGTGGTTTCCTAAACACATACTGCTGGAACTCACCTCAAGGTGTCATGAAAGCTGCAAGGTTGTCTGTAGAACTGGTTTGGAAAATCCTGGAAAGAACAAATATGAAGGAAAAGTGAAGGGATGCAAAGCTTCTTGTTGAAAAATATATGACAAACACTTTTCTTGACAATGTGAGAAAGAGCCAGAACATGCATATTAGTAGAAGGAACAAGTAGCTGGAATGCATAAATGCATAAACGAGACAAACAATCACAATAATGATAAAATTTCCAATGATGTAAAATCAATTGGAATGTGGACTCGGATGCTAAAAGATTACAGTGATGATCTTGTTAGTATTTTAAGATGACAAACTGTACAAACTGTACCCAGAATATTTCCATAAAAATGCTATATCTAGAAAATGTGGGAACAAATGAAACTTCAAAAAGGCATATTTAGCCTGATTAAAAACCAACATCTCAACCAGCACATTTCCCCGTAAATATTTGGGTTTTGGAAGATTTCTCTTTTACGTTCTGGCATAGCAGTTAGGCATTATTGTGAATTTGTTTACCTTATTCTGTCAGGTCAGATTTCCTCCGCCAAAGTGAGAAAATAAAAGTTCACCTTGTTGCCTAATTGGCTTCATTTTGGAATGGTTCATATGTTTAAGGTTGACAGGCTCCCGCCAAGACAGTGACTAGAGGATAACTGCAACAAACTATTACAACAATTCCATGGTGGCTTGCACAGATGCAGCGGCTTGGAGCTCCTCTCATTGGCTGTGTTTTTTACCGTTTTATTTTCTTTAATATGGCTAGGATTACCTGCAGTCAACGAGATCTTTTCCACATTGGAATTTGGAGCAAACAGTATGTAATCGAGGACTTTATAGATATGCACAACAGACTGCTGAACATGGATCACATGTTCTTGTACAGACATTCTTGTAGATATTCATCCTAAGGTTCAGGCAAAAGAGGTGGCAAAATGAGAGAAAAAAGGAGGGATTCCAGGCTGGTGTCTTGGCACAATTACAGAGAGGGGCAAGCTTCAGTTGGCAGCAAACATTCTGTTACTCGACAGTTGCAATTTGCTGATCACGGAGACCTGCATCTGTGAACAAAAGTTGGTGCACAATTGCCACAGTTATTAATAGGCATTGCTCAGCTGACCTGGGATTTATGGCCGCTAGATGCAGGCTGTTTTACCTTCCCTGTGAGTTTACGGTTGTCATGGTGATTGCTTTATGCATTCCACCAGGTGCTGCCAGTGGAGCTCTTTTGAATGACGCTTTCAGCTGGCAACAGAGCCACCACCCAAAGGCAGTGCATGTGGTCGCGGGTGATTTTAACCATGCTGATGTGAAAGTCTGATATAGCTGTGACCTTGGATGTGGAAATTATTCCATCTTGATGTTTCACGGCAAATAGATTTTGACACTTTGTCATGCCAACATGCTTTGATGATAAGAATCTTTTGATAACTATCACTTCCACCTCTTCTTCTTTTATGGCAATTAAGAGTTCGTCGCACTGCTGGTGTGAAGTCAGCTTTAATGAAACTCTTTAAAGACGTTCTTATTACAGCTTCAGTTTCCCTGACACCAACACCACCGTCGAACTAAAACACAACGTAAACTTAGTGAGATGGTGTCAAGAATACAATATCGATATAAAAATAACATAAAACATATAAACATACCTCGCTGGCTAACCCTTCCTTTTGAGGTAGAAATGAGGTCATTCAGTAAATTCTTACACTTAAATCATGCTTCTTCATCTGCTTGCCAACGCGATGCTGTTATATCGCAAGCGTCTCTGGTAACCTGGTAACCAGACGCTTCTACATCTACTTCCTACCTTAAACCTTCAAAATAAGAGTCTTAACAAAAACTATAAATAATACAAAATAAAACCTGTAAATTAAAACTTTGACAGTAAAACTCCCACCAAATCACAAACCTATGGTGATTTCAAATAACATACAACATTAAATAGGAATATATTTACATTTTAACATTTACTCTGCTTCCAGTAACAACACAGTTTTATGAACTGGTCTATCAAGATACACTGGCTTGACAGTCCTTTTTCCATCCTTATCCAAGGTCGAGTCACTTAGTAACAGCTTCACCTTCCTGATCCTTCCATCTGCGCTTGTATATACTTCTGTTACTCTTGCCAGTTTCCACTTGTTCCTTGGAGAATTGTCCTCTTGAAGAATAACAATGTCGTTTACCTTTGCATTTCTCTTGTTTCTTTGCCAGATTTGTCTCTTTGACAAGTTTTGAAGATCTAGGAGCCAGGATTCCCACTCTCTGTAGAGCTGATCTGAAAGAGGCTCGTCCCATCCGACTTTCTCTTGACATAACTGTTGTAGGATTTGTTTTCCTTTTAGAATGAAGGGTGCCACAAATCCCAGTGGATCATACACTGATGCTACTGTGCACAGGATTCCTCTTCTTGTCATTGGGTGCTCTTTGACTTTTATTCTAAATTGAAACTCATCAGAAGTGATGCACCACTGAACACCAAGTGCTCTTTCCATCAGTGGCTCTCCAAGTGCTAGATCCAAATCTTTAATACTATCAGCACACTCCTCTCTGGGCAGTGATTTTAACACATTTTCACTGTTTGATACAAACTTGTGTAATCTTAGTTTAGCTGTGTTACACAGCTCTCTTGCTTCTTTGACTAGTTTTATTGCTTCTGCTTCTGATGTAACACTTACAAGTCCATCATCTACATAAAAGTTTCTTTGAATGAACTTTACTGTGTCTGGAGAGAACTTTCCCTCACCTTGTGTGGCTAGATGTTTTAAACCAAAATTGGCACAACCAGGTGAAGAAGCTGCACCAAACAGGTGAACCTTCATGCGAAAGACCGAGGGGGAACATTTAAATCACCATGCTCCCACCATAAGAAGCGTAAATAATCCTGGTCTTGAGGTGTTACATTGAACTGATGAAACATACGCTCCACATCGCACATTACAGCCACTGAGCCTTTCCTGAACCTACAGAGTACTCCCACCAAAGTGTTTGTGAGGTCAGGCCCTGTAAGCAGGTGTTCATTCAGCGAAGTGTCCTGATATTGTGCAGAGCAGTCAAAACAACACGGATCTTGCCAGGCTTTTGAGGGTGGTATACCCCATGATGGGGAATATACCAGGCAGGGGAATTACAGATTTCCTTCTCCGGTATTTTCTCTGCATCACCACGTGCAATAATGTCCTCCATGAACCTTGCATAATCTGAGTAGTACCTTTGATCCCTTATGAATCTGCGTTTGAGACTGCTTAAACGTTGCATTGCACTTGACATGTTGTTGGGAAGATTTGGTCTGTCACTTTTGAAAGGCAGAGGCATTTCATAATGTCCATCTTGCTTTTGTTTGATTCCTTCATGCAGCTTTCTTAGGAAGCAGACATCTTCTTGTGAAATGCTTGTTTCTTCCACTGCTCTCTCTGTAAAATCTAATTCAAGTGCTTTGATTACATCTGGACCTGTTACTTCTTTCATCTGTGTCTTGCAGATGTAATGAACTTTATTCTTTAGCTTTGTGGTTGGCTCAGTCTCTGGTATTACTTGCTTTACAGTGATGCGATGACTTACTCCAATTACATCGCTGCCTGCATCACACAAATCACAGTAACTTATGATGCTCCAACCCAAATCTGTTTTCTGGGCATAAGGCTGGTTTTCTTCACCACATATGACTTCTCTGGGCATTAAAGCTTGTGTGCAATTATAGCCTAACAGGAGTCCTATCTCACAGTCCAATAGTGGAGCAATGTGTTCAGTGAGATGTTCCAAATGTGGCCATGACCTTGCTGTGTCTGGAGTAGGAATATGGCTACGATTGACAGGTATAAAATCACGTGTGTAAGCAACTGGCACAGTGAGTTTCTTTTTGGAAAACAATCCTCTTATTTGCAGAGCTTCAAGTTTTGTACATGCTACAGTTGTTTTCTTGGATGACATTGTAGATAATTTGAGATTAACCTGGGTTTTAGCTGTGTCCAGGTTGTTTGCTACTTCATTAAGAATAAAAGACGAATCACTCTGTGTGTCCAGCAGAGCATAGGTAAGTATTTCTTTGTGGCTCATTTTGTGTGGATACATAGACAGGTACTATTGCAGATGTCTGTGTGTTTCTACTTTCATGAGTCACTCTGTTAGATGTACTTTCATTAACTTTCGTTGTTTCTTGTGATTGTGTTACCTGTTCCTGGGTTTCCTTCCCTTCAGCTACTTCTTGTTCTTTAGGTTGTTCTTTCTTTGTCTCGTGTCTTTGTCTTTCTTCGTGCAGACATGTGGGATGTTGTTTTGAGCATGTGTTGCATGTCATCCGATTGCTGCAGTTCTTGGAGAAGTGACCACTGTTTAAACAGCCAAAACATAGTTTTTCACCTTGAATGAACTTGACTCTCTCAGTGACTGGTTTCTCAGTGAACTTACGACATTTGTGTAAGCTGTGTCCTGCTCTTTTACAAAATACACAAGAGATCATGCTTCTTTCTCTGGAGTTAGTTGTGAAGATGTTCGCTGTATTTTGCTTCTTATGAATGGGTGTAAGTAGAGACTTGGTCTTTGGTTTGTCAAAGTCACTTTGTCTTATAGCTTCATATGATGTAATGGGATTACATGCAATACTTGCCTCCATTGACAGGAATGTTACAAAGTAACTGAAACGTGGGAACTGTCTGTGCTCTAACTGATACTCTGTAGCCTTTCGGTTCCATCTGTTGCTTAACCAGTCTGGCAGTTTAGCAGCAAGTCTTTGATTCTCTATTGCATCATTGAGGATGTTCAGGTTCTCATTGGTAATCATTGCAGATTGACAGCTTTGTAAGAAATCCACAAACTTTCTTAACTCTGCACTGTTTTTACCTTGGAGCTTTGGCCATGTGCAACTTGTCCCTAAAGGCTTTTGCAATAACAAAAGGCTCTCCATAACGATCATTGAGCATATTCCATGCTGCCATATAAGAATCTTCAGAGCCAATCAGAAAATAGCCTTCTAAGGCTTCTTTAACACTCCCATCTACATACTTCTGTAAGAAAAATATCTTTTCTGCAATGGGAATATTCTTTCTCTCTATTAGAGTCTGAAAAGATGACTTCCAATGTTTAACTTAAGTGGATCCCACTAAATATTGAAGGCTCTGGAATTGGTAGCCTATTAGCTGACATAGCTTCTGCCAAAACTTTTACAAGCTCACCTGTGCTCTCGTGAACGACATTTAACTGTGGTGGTTGATTGGCAGTGTTCTTCATCTCAGTTACCTGTATGTTTGCAGGATTCGGAGTGATTCTTTCTTGCTTTACTAAAAAGTAGTCTTCTTCATAAACTTGTAATTTTGCCTTTGCTGCATTGAATCCTTTCAGATTTTCCAGTCTTTCAATTTCTCTTTTTAAGTCCTCAACTGATCTTTTCCTTGCAGCACTTTCTTCTTGTTGTCTCTTTATCACAGCCGCCTTCTCCTTTTCTCTTTTTAACTTGCGTTCTGTTTCCTCTCTTTCCTCTTGATGGCGTTGTGACATCGCAGCAGCTTCTTGTTCTGCAGTTCTGAGTTTGTCTTCTTCTTCTATGGTTTGCATTTTTTCTCTAATTCTCTCTTGTTCAGCCATTATCTTAAGCACAGCCTTTGTGGCTTCATACTCTGCTGCAGCTTCTTGTCTTTTGACAGAGGAGCCATTAGAGATAACTGTACTGGGTTTAAAATGACTATGAACTGAGACACTACTTGAGCTAAAGATGTAAATAGAACTGGCATCAGGCCAAACAATCTCCTCCTTATTTGTCACTGATGTACATTTGTCTAATTTGGAACGCATATCATGAGGTGGTCCATCTATTGCTCTGTATTGATCATAAATATCATTAAGAGCGGCTAGTTCTCTTTGCACAATGTCCATGTGACCTTCAAGAATGTCAAATGGATCTCCTCTGATAACAGATTTTTTAGCAACTTTAATTAATGCTTTCCATCTGTCATAGGTACTTTCAAAGTGACGCTGCAGCCCCTTTAGTTTTTCTTTATGAAATTCTTTCCTTTTTCCGTTAACATGCGAGATCTTTCACTTCTACGTAGTTCTTCTTGCCCAGGTTGCTCTAAAGAGGTTCCATCTACTTGCTCTGCTTCGGCAGCTTGTTCTGCACTGGCAACTTCTATTTCTGTTTCATTTGTTTCCAACATTTTACTTTACTTGAAATCTTATGGACTTCTTAATTGGTCAAAATTTCCTTTTAATTTAACTTAGATTAACTCTGAGCTTCGTTGCATTACTTCCCTTCTCGTTACTTTGTTGCGCTCTTGTTGTCAGGCTTCACACGGTTCCTTGTTGTTACTCCTTCCTTGTGTCACTTTCCAAACATGAACTTAAATGTCTGGCTTCTGGACGTCTTTATGAAGAAGCAACCGTTGAACGTGTGTCCGTTAACATTTGCAACTGACCGATCTTGATGCCCGTTAATATTGTCAACTGTCCAATCTTCGTGCCCGTTAACATTTGCAACTGACCGGTCATCGATGCGACGATGGGAAAATCGTGCAGCTCCGAGTTCGACTATCACTTCCACCTCTTCTTCTTTTATGGCAATTAAGAGTTCGTCGCACTGCTGGTGTGAAGTCAGCTTTAATGAAACTCTTTAAAGACGTTCTTATTACAGCTTCAGTTTCCCTGACACCAACACCACCGTCGAACTAAAACACAACGTAAACTTAGTGAGATGGTGTCAAGAATACAATATCGATATAAAAATAACATAAAACATATAAACATACCTCGCTGGCTAACCCTTCCTTTTGAGGTAGAAATGAGGTCATTCAGTAATTCTTACACTTAAATCATGCTTCTTCATCTGCTTGCCAACTCGATGCTGTTATATCGCAAGCGTCTCTGGTAACCTGGTAACCAGACGCTTCTACATCTACTTCCTACCTTAAACCTTCAAAATAAGAGTCTTAACAAAAACTATAAATAATACAAAATAAAACCTGTAAATTAAAACTTTGACAGTAAAAATAACTTTTGATCTTCAAGTGCTTCAAGAGTGTTCCGAGTGATTTTGAAGTCTATATCTCAAAAACCGTAGAATAAGTTTGATCAGATACAACGTCTATAAAAAAAAAGAAGAGAAGACAGCAGCTTTAATCCAAATTGGACTTGCTGTTGGGTTTGGACCATGGGTCCAAGAAACTTTGTTATAGGACCTGACAGAATATCTGCGACGTGCGGTGAGGGAAGGCAAGTGAGGCAGAGCCTCATCTGACATAATGGAAAAATATGACAAAATAACTTATATTGCTATATTCAGCCTGTGGTTTGTACTGTGAACTATTTATTTTTTATTGAGCTCAATCAATTTTGATTATTTTTTCTTCAAAATTGCTTAATTTTCGCAATTTCCCATTCAAATGCTCAGCGAAATTGCTGAGGCAGCAGTGAGCTTCAAAAAAGCTATGTACTTTGTAAATGATGTGGCTTTGTAATGAAAGCTAAAGTTCAACCAGTAATACTTTTATAACAAATTTATGTCAGATCATGATTTCTTGGTTAATGTGAAGTTGTCATAACAAAAACGTTTTAAATAATGTCAACTTTGTATTAAGCGTTATGATTTACTGAAATACACATTATGACAACAGTCACAAATATTCATGAAGACTTACTCATGTTCATGACAGGTGTTGTCATGTTTTATGATGGTGACATAACAGTCTTATTCACAACTCGTCAAATAAAGTGCTCCCAAATACTGAAATGTGTAAATATCTCTGGTGTTACATGAAGAAGTACAGAATTACATACAGAAATGATGAGTAATAGACTTGTCCCTCTCATCCCCTTTGAAACTTTGCATGCTCTAGATTGGAAAGTGTAACAATATTTCAATTTCCCAATTACTGCTGATCTGAAATTGAGGGGAAAAAACCCCACAAAAGAATACTTAATTTACTTTGAAATGATTGTCATTGTTAAAGTTTGCCTAATACCTACTTTTAGAATTTCGCACTGTGACAAAGAATACAAAAAAAATTTAGAAACAGATAACCTGAGGCAAGTTGAAGATACTTTACATACCTCCACCAGGATGAGCTTTTTCTCTGCAGCACCTCTTTCACCTTTCATTTTCAGGCATTTGTACTTGTTAACTCTCAGAAGAAACTCCTGAAATTGTGCCAACTGAGAGCTGCAAGACAAGCCCTGTGATCTCCATTCTGCAGGAGAAAGATGAACTGTTCTTAGAACCAGCTTCACAGTACAAAGCAAAGGCATGCTACCACAGACATTATTTAGAATTAGCATCCATATATACAATAAATCAAACTTCTTCATATATCCTGAAAGCCTTGTACAAAGAAAACTGAAAACTACTGAACTACTGAAAAGATTTGCTTTTCATATAGCCTACTGAATCAATTTCAAAAGGTTATACAGCATTGCAAAGTAGTGAAAATGGTTCATGTTCACTGCTGAAAAGCTCTACCTTTCATATGCACTAGTGAAAACTTTTCAACAAAGTAGTGAAAACCTTTTTTTACTGCCATATTTTCAGGTGGTGGCTGAGGCTTTAGGAAAATCTACAGAAACCATTTTATGAAGTGGGAATGCCAAGTCTTTTCTAAATCTTTTCAGACAAGTCTGGTGTGTTAAATGCTTCGGATCTACACTAATTACTAGTAACAACCTACATCAAGGTGTGCATAATTATTAGGCATCTTCTATTCCTCAGGCAAAGTGGGCCAAAAAAGAGATTAAGAAAAGTCCAAAATTGTGAAAGGCTTTTCAAGGGATGCAGCACTCTTGAAACTGCTAAGATATTGGGGACTGATCACAGAAGCATCCAACGTTTTGCTGCAAATAGTCAACAAGGCCGCAAGAAACATGTTGAGAAAAATAAAAAGGCACAAATTAACTGCCAAAGGTTTAAGAAGAATCAAGTTTGAAGCTACTAAGAACCCATTATTTCCAGTGCTGTCATATTCCAGAACTGCAACCTATTTGGAGTGCAAGATGTTCAGAGCTCAGAAACATGGTCCAGGTAGGCTGAAGGCTGAAACCCAACCACCATCGAACAAGACATACAAGTTGAAACATCAAGACTTGTAGAAAAACTTTCCTCAAAACTTGTAGAAAAACTGATTTCTCAAAGTTTTTGGGGTTTTTTTTCAGGATGAGATGAGAGTGACTCTTGACCACTGATAGCATAGTTACTTTGAAAACGTAACTAATCACTTCACTGATTACTTGATGTGGAAAGTAACCAAATTGCATCAAAAGTAACTTTTTTTAGTTGCTAACAGTAACCCTCCACCAGCTGTGAATATTACATTGAGCTTTGCAAATACTTAATTGTAATACTTAACTACTTAGTTATTTTATTATGGTAAAATCAACTACGTGACTCCATTTATAAGGTTGAACTGAAAGGGAGATTGTCAAATGGTTACAACAGTACTATAAAAGATTTTTGGTAATTTTTGTGTGGTTTCACTGTTGTCTAGACTCTAAATAGGATTTTAGTGCCTTCTTCTCCCTGCCCCAGTCTCCAGGTTTTGTTTTACAGGCCTGTGTTTGCTGTCAAAGTGCACAGAGCACCTCTTGCAGCTCCACAACTCTCATTATTATGATGGCATTTATTGTGCAACTTTACGGACACGTTCATTTGGTGATGTTTTGACGTTTATTGCGCTGCTCATATTCGTCTTAATGTTTGCAGTTTTCTGGAGTGCAATGCGAAGTTCAATATTAACTTAACATTAACAAAGGCACAGCGGGACGGATCATCCAGGAAATGATGGACTAAAACTAACTGGATGTCACACAAATTCTGGGGCATATTAAGTGTCTCTGCTTGTCTTAAAACCCAAATAAGCGACTTAATGTACAGAAACCATAATCTGCGACTCATCAAATTTGCAAGTGACTTTAGAAAAAAAACATGCTTTAAGATGTGATAGTAATATAATAATTGGACTTGGTGACAGAAACTCAAAATAGTTCAAGTTTTTCCAGCAGCAAAATGCGCATCTCTCCTCTCTCCATTGTTTACGTTTATTTCGCTGCTGATAACTGTCGCATAGAAATGGCGGTCGCTCCCCCAGACACACAATAGAATTAATAATTACATAAGAAAATAGTAACTAGTAAAAGTAACTAGTACTTTTTTCAGTAACTTTTTTCAGACTGAAAAAAGTAACTTATACTTTTTTCAGTACTAGTACTTTAACGCGTTGTTAAAAGTTACATATCCAAATCACTGTGCGTTACTATTTTCTTATGTAATTATAAACTTTTATAATTACATAATAAATTATTAAAATTAATAATTTCGATAGTTAATTTTGTTAAAATTAATTATTAATTTTAATACAATTAAAATTTAATAAATTTTAATTAATTTAATTAAGTAACTGAAAAGTACTTTTTTCAGTTACTTTTTACTGAAAAAAGTAACTAGTACTTTTTTCAGTAACTACCGCCTTACTTTGTAAGGCATTACTGACCATGCCTTACATGGTCTTGGCTGGATCAGTAATGAGCACAGAGCTCCACTTCATATCAGATGCCAGCAAGGTAGAGGCAGGGTACTGGTATGATATTATTAAAGATGAGATAGTTGGACCTTTTCTGGTTGATGTACTTAAAATCAATTTCTAAACCTATTACCAAGATTTATACAATTTAGTTGAATACGACAGGTTCTTTCTT